ACGTGACCAGTTGCAGAAATGTGGATTGTAATTGACATGAGTATTTTTGTCCTATTTGGTTAATAATAGGCTTGTGCATGTATACACATATGTTAAGCAGATACTTGAGTTATTCTTTTTTAATGTAATTGAGATAAATGTTAAATGGATAAGTATTGTGAACCTATATGATTATATTGGGTTATGAGACACTAAAGGACTAAGCATTCCTCGAAGACCTTATCACCTACTCTAAGATATATAATGCATTGGTCATTGTATGATGAGATAGTTATATCATGTTAGGTGAAATTATGACCTCAACATTGTTTTCATTTGAAAATTAAGCATGACATAGAGAGATGCTATTGTGTGTCAAGTTGACAAGGGGTGGACTTGTGATGGCTAATCCTGGGTGTCAACTTGATTTGATCTGAGATTAACTGAAATGAAAGAGATCTTCTTGATTGGATCATCTAAAGCCAGAAGACACACCCTAAATGTGGGCATTACCTTCTGATGGCAGCTGGTATAAAAGACCAAGGCAGAGGAGAACACCAGGCTTCTTGCTGCTTGCCTTCTCTCACTGGTGAGTTCGTCTTGGTGCTGTAGACTGAAGACTAGCTTATCTTTTGGAATTTGTCAGACCTTCAACGCCAGATTGGTTGGACTACTTGGACTCTATCCTGTGAGCTAAGCTGATAAATCTCTATACATATATATTCATTCTACCAGTTCTGTTTCTTTGGAGAATCCTGACTAATACAGATTGGTGGAGGCCTAGGTGCCTGGTAAGCTTCCCTCAGGATTATGGCTGTGACATAAGAAAGGGAAAGTTGGAAGGCATAAGCTGAAGAAACCTCCAGTACTGAGGAAGGCCACAGATCGTCGTACAGGTTTTCCTTCCTTTTCTGGTTGTGCTTTGAAGAAGGGATGTGGTTGGACTGTCTAGAAGATGTGTTGCGCTACATCACTGTGGAGAGCAGAAGTTTGACCAGTGAGACTTTTAGGATCCCCTGCTCTTGGGGTTCTCTCATGGAGTAACTGCCTTCTGCAATTGTCTTGTGGACCCTTTTAAAGCAGTTTCTCCTGGTTTTGTGGGAAGCTAGACCTGGGGCACGAGAAGGGGTACTGTGGGTGCCTATATAGGAGAGATCTCTTCCCTCTGTGAAGGGGCCAAAGAGCTCATCAAGGAAGAAACTGACAAATCTATACCGACTCTCTAGGGCATCCTTCCTTCCCTTTGTCTTCTTTTGGAGCAGCACTGAGGATCTCAAGGCCTCATGCATACTAGGCAAACACTCCACCATCGAGTTTTACTCCCCAGCCCTCTCTACTCTGTGTAACTTTTGACATTATATGAGTGTTGGTTCTTCAGATGTTAACTTGGGACTAGCAAAGGCGGGAAGACTGTCAGTCATCCATTCTGTCTGCCCAGCAGGTTTTAGACTCATTTCTTTGTGTTTGTATAGCGCCCCATTCTGGCTATAGAGATATTACAGAAACATGGGAGGGTGGAAATGAGAAATCTTGGGGGTTCCTGCCAAAATTTGTTTTTTGTTTATCCTTAAATATCAAGGATAAGAGAACTACTCAGCAGGAAGAATCAGGGAACCCTCATACTAAGCCCTGTTTAGCCTGGTCTCTAGCCCAGTAGATTGAATTTCTCTGTCTTCCACTCCCATCATTATACCTAACAAAAAGTGCTATATAGTCAGACACTGAAGAGGTTCTCATAGCATACCAGCCCCTTTTTTCTTAGAAGTGCATAGCAAAGGTAAGATTGGCCTGCGTCAGCTGGAGGAAAGCTCTGCACAGACCTTGACCGGGCCCTCACGGCTGTTCTTCCTGGAAACCCAGGTCCATCACAACACTTTGTGGATATTTTTGCAGTCATCTCTTAAGTTGTCAATGCTCAGTCAGATTCTGGTGCTGCTGAGCACACAGCACTGCCTTGGAACCTGGACTTCATCAGGAAGGGGTATCAATTATAGAAAAGGCGTTTTTAGATTATATAAAGAGACAGAGTTTCATTTCATTTGTATAATAGAACCACATGCTGGACCAGGCTTGGAGTTGCTGGAGGACCTTGCACAGGACGGAAAAGAGATTGACTTTGTCGAAGGCAGGAGCCATTGGCCTCTGTATTTTCTGCCTCCAGCTTTCTTGGGTCTGACCCCATTTATGTTACTTCAGTGTAGTTACAAGCCAGGCAGGCTTTTCCTTGGTCTTAGCTTAAATATTGTTTCTTCCAGAAAGCCTCCTGATGGCTGCAACAGGATAGATGTTAGCCCCATGCATTGGTTTTCCTCCACACAGGACCTGGGAGGGCAGGAGTCTGTCTGTCTCACCTGTGTCCTTCCTCAGATCTGAGCTCTTCACTCACAAATGCTAGTAGGTCAAAACTCGCATCTTTCAGGAAACTTTAATCTGATCATTAAGAGGAGTATTAATCTTTTTTGCTTTGGAGTTTACTAGGTATGTGTATGTATATTTATATATACAAATTCACACCTTTTTTTTTTTTTGGTCTTTTTGAGAATGGGCCTCCCTGTAGCCCCAGCTGGCCTGGAACTCACCAGGTAGACCAGGCTGGCCTTGAACTCACAGAGATCCGCCTGCCTCTGCCTCCCAAGTGCTGGGACTACAGCCATGTGCCACCATGCCCAGCTCAAATTCACACTCTTATTCAGTCCTTATTAAAACACTCTGGAGGAGGTGGTATTTTTATTTTTACCCAGCAAATAGGTGCCAGAATGCCTAATTGATACCAGAGTTACATAGATGGGGAATGATAATCAATGGAGTCTTCAGACCCCTCAGCTGTGGCCTAGTGAGCACAGGTACAGCTGATCAGTCACCTGGGAGTGGGTCATATGTGCCTTTGGAGTATCAAGGGAAGGGAGAGGAAGAGGTAGGCTCTTCTGAGGCTCCTGATCCTTCTACATGGCCCTTACTCATATTCTAGACACTGTTCTAGTACCACCTAGGTAGACTGTTGGCTGTCAGTGTTTCTCCTACATGCTTAAAAGATGTACTGTAACATTTGCTTAAGGGATGGGCCACAGCTTTCTGTCTGCTATAAAGCCTGATCTCTGGTGGCTTGAGTGGGAGGAGATGGAAAGTTCTGCCACGTGCCCAGCAGGGAATTTTCTTTATATACCAAGCTTTCAGGTTCACTTAATGCCTTGTTTGGGCACCTCCTCAAAACACTTGAACTGTTGTGACAGGGCACATCTTTGCTACTCATGGCCTTTTTGAGTGGGTTAGGAGAAGGAAGGGGCAGGGCTATGACTTGTAATCAGATGGATTCCCTTCAGCCCTTCCTCTTTTTTTTTTGTCTTTTTGAGACAGGGTCTCCCTATAGCCCCAGCTGGCCTGGAACTCACTATGTAGACCAAGCTGGCCTTGAACTCACAGAAATCTGCCCGGCTCTGCCTCCCAAGTGTTGTGATTAAAGGTATGCCACTATGCCCAGCCATCCCTTCAGCCCATTTGATATGTACCAAAGATTGTACCTTACTGTCTCAAGCTATCTGAGAAAGGAACCTCTCTGCCAGCCATCTAGAGGTGACTGTTGGAACAGCACATGGGAAACAACTGCCATGCCACCAAGATATTTTCCCTGCTTGTTCTTACCCTGGTTTGCAAATACTCTTGACTTACTTTAGGAAGAATTAAATGAGCCCTTCCTAGGCAGTAAGAGACCTAAAGGGCCTTCCTTCCCTAGAGAATTACACACAGAATGAGGTGGGATATGGGAGGTAGGTGTATATGCACACACCACACACACACACACTCCTTGGTAATACTTGTTTTTGTTTTGTCAAGGGCCTTGCACATGTTTGGCTGGTGTTCTACCACTGAGCAACAACCCCAGTCTAGTGTTTGTGATTGTTGTCCCAGAGGTTCTTAAAGTGTTGAGGGACCATGAACAAGCTGATGGAGCCTGGGAGAGGCCAGCACTGGCCCAGAGCAGATGGCATTAGAGCAGTGTCTGGAAGGTAGAACAGGGGACAGGTAGAAAGAGTCCCTTAAAGAGTAAGAACCACATGTGTCAGACCCAGAACAGAAGGAACTTGGAGGTCTCAAGGCTGGTGGACATTTGTGTGCTGGGGTTGTCAGTACTGTCTCTTAATTGTAAGAGTCTACCTTAAAATTCTTCTAGAATAAATTGAGAGCACTTGCAGACCAGACTAATAGCAGGCAATGTGAACTGTCTGGTGGCATAGCCATCTTGGCAGTTCAGTTTTCTAGGTGCTGTGCCAGCAGCCACCTCTGAGCAGCTGGCAGAGAGCTCACTTTCTCAAATGGCTTGAGACGGACCAATGGTGGCTGGGAATAAAAGAAGTGGGCCAAGACCTGGTAAAAAGTGCCTGTTTTCTATGGTCAACCAATATTAGTCCAGGTTGGTCTTAAACTCACAACCTTCTTCCTCTACTTCATAAGTGTTGGGGCTAAAGATATATGCCACACACCAGCAATGTGTCTTTTTAAATTTTGTTTTAAATATTTTTATTATTTTTATCTGTATGAGTGTATGTTGCCTACATGTTGCCTACATGTATGTAAGTGTACCTGTATCATGCAATGCCCATGGAGGTCAGAAGAGGGCATTAGATCCCCAGGAACTGGAGTTATGAACAATTGTTAGCAGCTATGTGAGTGCTGGGAACCAAATCCTGGGTCCTCTGTAAGAGTAGCCAGTGCTCTTAACCACTGAACCATCTCTTCAGCCCTGCAACATGTCTTTTAAATGCCTAATTACGAAAAGCTTTAAGAGTAAGCAGAAGGAGCCCAAAGACTGCAGCAAACCCTGTGTGGTAGTCACCTACTGCAACATGTCCTCTGGTCAGAACACTGTCATGCCCCACTTTCTCCCAAATGCTCTGAAGAAATCCCAGAATGACTGTGTTCTGTCATTCTTAGCATGTGGTTGTTAATGGATCAGTCTTCACTTTTAAATTTAATTGCACTTTCTGAAGAACCACTGACTCTCCCCTCTTTGTCTTGCTTTCCAGTGGGAAATTAGTGTCTCCAAAGTGGAAGAATTTCAAGGGCCTAAAACTCCAGTGGAGGGACAAGATCCGGCTCAACAACGCCATCTGGCGGGCATGGTACATGCAGTGTAAGTGTGTTGCCAGTGTGGGAGTGGCAGGTGTTACAAAGGCCCTCCATTTTGAAGTGGGGGTCAGAGGTCTGTATCTTAGAGGCCTGAGTACTTCATGTCCTCAACTGATTCTTAAAATTTGCTGTTTCCAGAAGAATCTCTTTTGAACAGTCTATGACTCAGGGACCAGGCATTTACCAGCCATCAGACACAGTCAACCAACAGAGCCCAACATAAGAAACCCTACCCACAAAGTACAGTGTGCATGTTGGGTGTTTGGGCTTAAAGAAATAGGGGTCCTTTTTCGGGAAATTTGGAGAATATTGCAAAGAGGTGTCATTTGAAGAGCCAATGAGTTTCCATTTCCAGCAGATTTTAAAAGATACAGATATGGGGCTGGAGAGATGCCTTAATGGTTAAGAGCACTGACTGCTCTTGCAGAGGACCAGGTTCGATTCCCAGCACCCACATGGTGGCTATCAACTGTCCTTAACTCCAGTTCCAGGGGAATCCGAAGCCCTCTTCCGACCTCTGTGGCATTTTACGACATGGATGCACTCACATACATGCAGGCAATACACTCATACACATAAAATAAATTAAAAAAAAAAAGATCCAGATGTTACTATGTACATCCTCTTGTCCCCAGCCAGCTTGAGTGTGGGAAGACCCAGTGGACCCTGCCTGCTCACTGGCTGCCTTTGTCTTGATGAGAAGCATCACTTTTTTAAAGTTTTTAAATTATTATTATTATTATTATTATTATTGGTCTTTTTGAGACAGGGTCTCCCTGTAGCCCCAGCTGTCCTGGAACTCACTATGTAGACCAGGCTGGCCTTGAACTCACAGAGATCTGCCTGCCTCTGCTTCCCGAGTGCTGGGATTAAAGGCGTGTGCCACCATGCCCAGCTTTTTTATTATTTTTTATGTGTATGGATGTGTTGCTCACATGTATGTAAGTGCACCTGTGTTGTGCAGTGCCTGCAGAGGTCAGAAGAGGGCATTGTATCCCCTGTAATTGGAATTATGGATGATTGTTAGTCACCATGTGGGTGCTGGGAATCAAACCCAGGACCTCTGCAAGAACAACTAGTGCTCTTAACCGCTGAGCCATCTCTCCAGCACCAAGCTTCACTTTCTTGATCATATATTATTGCCATTCTTTGCCTTGTGCCTTGAATGTAGCAGACTGTGGGGAGTTCCTTCAAGGGTCTTGGTGTAGTGATGATGTCTCACCTCTCTCAACCTAGATTTGGAGAAGCGCAAGAATCCTGTGTGCCACTTTGTCACCCCACTAGATGGCTCTGTTGATGTAGAAGAGCATCGTCGGCCTGAGGTACTTGAAGTGGCAAATGATTGGAGGGTGAAAGGTGGGAGGGTGTTGGGAAAAGAAAACTGCCTTCATTTTTTTTTCCATTAAAATGCTTTTTTAAAAAATTTTTAATAACTACATGATTAGAAGAAGCATTTCATTACAGCTTTAACATATTCAGTAACACACTCCAGAGCAAGAGTAAACTCACTATGTAGACCAGGCTGGCCTTGAGCTCACAGAGATCTACCTGCCTCTGCCTCCCAAGTGCAGGGATTAAAGGCGTGTGCTACCACATCCAGCTTGAATGAGTTTTTAACCTTTAAAAAAGATCTCCATTTCATTTTCAAATATATTGTTCCTTGCAGAAAGACTCATTTTTACTACTAACACTGAGATGTTGGGGCATGCATCTCTAATCTGTATGTATCTGATTATTACTAGACGTAATCAGTTGCACTTGGATCCTTGGCACCTGTGTATGTCTATAAAGTAATCGGGTACATTTCAATGGTAATGTTTATCACGTCTGCTAATTAACATGACAAAATTTCCATGCCTCCTCCTCAAATATAATACATTTTAAAAAATTTGTTGGTGTGTGTGTGTGTGTGTGTGTAT